GTTCCTTAAGATCCTTATACATCTTATCCGCTCCCTGGTGGACTGAGTATTTTGATCGATGGGCTTCATCCAAAATTATGGATTTAAGATTGCCAATCTTAGGTATCCAAACCTTGTCTCCCAAATAATACACTCCATCTGATTTCAAAAAGCTCACCAGGATAACCTGAACAAACACAATCTGGAACTTCAAGGAACCAGAACTTACTTCACAGATCTTTGTAAGGAAACGAACAACAAGCATGAAGTAATACAACTAGATAAGCATAAAAAAACAAGAAGTAACAATTAATGAGCTGAAAACCAGCAAGATCTATAAGACCCAAACAGAGAAACATCACAGTTGTGTGGATGATCGATTTCTCGAAGGACGATCGCAACCACCAGAGTTGGTCATTTGCTCAATAACAATAACTAAGATACAGATCTAGAGTCAAAAGAGAGCATCCTGGATGAGTGAAGATCGAGATCACCTGGATCATCGAAGCAACATCTAGAGTCGATTCACTTGCTCCGAACAAATAATATTCAGATCAATAAACAAAAAAGAAACATACAACAGAGTCGAGAATATCATCAATTAAAAAGGATACAGATCTTGAAAAACCGAACCAAACATGGCAAGATAACCAGGAGCATCACGGAAGAGTGAAGATCGAGATCTCGTGGATCATCGAAACAACATCTAGAGCCGATTCACTTGCTCCAAACAAACAATATTCAGATCTATAAACGAAATGAAACATTCAGCAGAAACAAGAATATCATCAATCAAAAAGAATACAAATCTTGAAAAAATCGAACCAAATAAGGCAAGATAAGCGAGAGCATCACGGATGAGTGAAGATCGAGATCTCGTGGATCATCGAAACAACACCTAGAGCCGATTCACTTGCTCTGAACATTCAATATTCAGATCTATAAACGAAAAGGAACATACAACAGGAACAAGAATATCATCAATCAAGAAGACTACAAATCTTAAAACAGAACCAAACAGAACAAGATAACCGTGAGCATCACGGATGAGTGAAGATCGAGATCTCATGGATCATCGAAACAACAGCTAGAGCCGATTCACTTGCTCAAGACAAACAAAGAACAGATCTATCCTCGATATAGAAATGTAAACCAGAAGAGAAATATTTTCATGGATCTGTACACAACCGATTCACTTGCAACAAGAAAAAGAAAGGACAATGAGTATTTTGTCACTTTTGTTGGTACAACCAAGATCTCATGGATCTGAACGCAACCGACTATGGACAATCATTTACTCAACAAGTAAAAATTAACAGGTAAGAATGAGAACAGAAAACTTACCTGAGACGCTCCACCAATCAAAGAAGATGAACAGATCCTTAGAGAAAACGAACAGTGGATCTTTAGGTGCTCTAATACCATGAACAAAAGTATAAACGAACTTTATTCAAGAATATCGATACACTTACAAACAATGTAGAAAATACAAAGTAATCTCTAGACCTAAAATATTGTTAACCAAAGTGATTAACAGATATACAACGAACAAGCTAGAGAGAAAATATGGAGCTAAAGAAAATCAAAAGACTTGGATGAAGAAAAATGAAATATATTTTTTTTGAAATTTGAAGAAGATGGCAGTTATATATTAATCCAAAATTTGCAAAGAAGGTCCTCCAAGATAGTATTATTTGCTCCGCTACCCTTGAACAATTCCATAAAGTGAGGTGCGCCCCCTGTACTTGTCACCCAGTCTTTCGAACATTTGCACTACCAGTCCTTCAACTTTAAACTGTTACACAAGTTACAAAAGTAAAGATTGTTATTGTTAGATTTAAGAGTAACTTTCAACACTAGATTCGATTACCAACGAGATGTGTGTAAGGACTATAAACAAACTGGTTATTGTGGTTACGGTGAGTCATGTAAATTTTTACATGATTACGGCGATTATAAGTCTGGTTGGCATCAGAGAAGGAAAGAAAGAGGAAATTGGCATTAAAAAATGATGAAGATGATGTTGAAATGAAGATGATGGACTTCCCTTTGCTTGTTTTATTTGCAGAGATCCATTTGTTAACCTTGTTGTTACCAACTGTAAGCATTATTTATGTGAGAAGTGTGTTTTAAAGGTAATCAAATTCTCATTATCATCTATTTTATTAATAAGATTATTGTGTGTTGTCTTTTATGCTTAATTGTTGTTTTGGTATAAGTATATGCTACACCATGGAAGGAAGAAATTATGTTATGTGTGCAATCGGCCAACACTTGGGATATTCAACACGGCACATGAAATAAGAAAAAAGATGAAGATCGGGAAATAACTAGCTAGGTAGGTATTGTTTTCTAATTTCTTTTGTTTTAGATTTGGTACTAATTACACAATGGATGTCGATATGTTCTTCTGCTTTCATTCTACTGAATGAATACATATATATATATATATATATGGGGGGGGGGAAGGGGTTTTTGATTTATCAAATATATATCTCCACTACTGTATGCATCGTTTGATAATTATGAGAATTTAATAATTGAAGCCACCAATGCATGCATAATACATACATATATATAATTATATATATATGTGTGTGTGTGTGTTGTGCTTGTAGGTTGTTGAAGTTGATGTTGAAATTGAAGAACCAGAAAAGATAATGTTCACAATAATGCCTTTTATACACAGGAAACACTTCTTAAATCTGAATCTCAAGCGATGCTGGATTGTAGTCCATTATCTATTCGTCATTGGATTGTAAGCAGCCTATTGTTGTTCCTTTTAAGAACGTCGATATTTTCATAAAATATTCATTTTTATTACACAAAACATAAGTGAACGTTGCTTAAATTATTTTGTGATGGCTTATCTTAATCTTGTATTATTCAGGTTAAGAATACAAGAACTGTAAATAGGACTAGACAATTGATTTGGTACAAGCTGTTACACCTGGTTCCAATTGCTTACCTTTGGCAGGTTCAGAAGCCAAGTTTTTGAGAATGGTTGTTTTTCTGAAGCATAATCTGTGAGTTACACTTTATGCATCTGCTGATGATTTTCCTAGAGGAGAGTTCCCTAATCAAAATCCAAGGGTTGGCGAAGGCCTGGCCTCATGGGTCCAGCAAAATCGCTCTCTTGAAGAAACCGATATCGTCCTCTGGTGAGTAAATTCCCGGTCACATTTACTGATCCTTTTGACAGCAAGTGCTTATCAAACATTTTATATATATTGAAAATTGCAGGTATGTATTCGGTATCACTCATGTTCCTAGGTTGGAAGACTGGCCTATAATGCCAGTGGAACTGATCGTGTTTATGCTTCAGGTATGTTAAATGGTCGGCCAAATGCTATTTGAATACATAAATAGTTGTATATTTGTTGGGATTTAAATTGAGATTGTGTTGCAGCCACATGGGTTCTTTAATTGCTCCCGAGCGATAGACGTTCCACCCGGAGCTTGTGAGTCAGATGTGAAAGATAGCAGCAACCATGTTAAAGACGCAATTGCTCCGAAGGCGGTTTCAAATGGCTTGATAGCAGCCAAGCTTTGATTTGGCAAATATTTTAGATTTGGTGTATGAAACTGAACTATTACTGTATAGTCTTTTTTTATGGTTGGTTTTATACCTTTTTGTTAATAAGTTGCCATTTTGTTTACAAACTTTTTTAATTACAAAGTTTTTTTTCACGATTTTTGTATTGGAGTGGACCTCGAGTCATTGTTGAGAGCGCACACACACAAGGATTGGTACTCCATGATTGTACATGAATTTTCTAGGTATCAACGTCAACTTTTTTAATAATTAATAATGATATAACTTACTTAAATAGTAACGCTTATTAGATTAGATTAACGGCTGAATATTAAATATTTCTCGAGTTAATGCTTACTTATATCATTTATCTTATTGATTGAACATGATAAAGACTAAAAATATTAGTTGGTAAGATATATAGAAAGAATCGAGACTCTTACCCGGTAGTGAGGAAGAAGACTCTAACCTAATTAGCGCTTACTAACAATTCATTTTGATATCCGAGAATAAACAATAAGATCTTACTAACTACAGTTGACATTATTAATATTTTGTAATAAACAAAGAGGTGTTGGAACTTTCATGAACGGGGATGTGTTGGTTTTCTTTTGGGACAATCCAGAAAGGATATTGTTGTGCGTCTATATAAATGTTATTGCTCATGTCAAAATCGTTGGTTTTTTTTCCGACATTTCACTATTATTTGTTCAAAGTTTTTACCACCATCTTGACAAGCATGTTTTGGAATTTATGTGCACTCATTATGAACATAAATCTAAGAGTCGCATAACTTGATCCTGAAGTAAAATCCCAAAACAAGTTTGTCAATGATGAATTTTGAAGACATTCTGATTTTAAATAGAATTGTATGGTTATTTCACCAAGCCTCCCTTGATCTTAGATTTAGAACAACATAGGGGAGTCCGATCTCAACTCTTCTCTGACGAGTAAATAAGAATCTTCATTTCTTTTTTCTTCAAGAATCTAAAATATTTTGTGTTCTGATAGTTTCATTTTCAACGGAAGAAATCATTGAGGTGCTTATTGAGGGGACAAAACATCTGGATCATTTGGAGGGGAATTTGTTAAGAATGAAAGACATGTTCACCGACTTAGTAGCCTCTACATCTACAATCAGGATAGAGACAATTGGGGACCTGACTCCTGTATCTGTTACACTGCAAGAAACTCTTAATGGAACATGTGAACCATCAAGATCTCAAGGATATCTTGCAAAAATTTGAGATTTAAAAATTGAATATATCTTGATAGAACTTTTACATCCCGCCGCATTGTGCGGGTACACAACTAGCAGTACAGTATCTAAGGTTTATCTTAGTACCCCGAGAATTAAACCCCTATCAATCTATAAACTAAAAACAATAGCCAATTTTTATACGATTGGGCTGACTCGGTCTTCCGGATGTCATAACCAGTCCTGATCCTAACCGCATAAGGATAACAGTCCTTGATTTGCGAACGGTTTGCCCTTTTTCACTTGACAATATAATGTATACATATATATTAAACAAGCTCTTTAAGTTTTGATTTTGGATACAATTCGAATTCGAAACCTAGTCCGTGACCGAGATTGGTGAAGAAAGAGATTAGGATGGACGAGTAACGAATGCTTGAATTCCTCATAGATATACAGGCGTAAATATGATCAATTTGTTCTACTTAATATTGCAAACACGATAGCATTCGATGCACCTACAAACTTATCGATCATTGTCTACTGATCAGTTTATCTCTTCCGATGATCCGCCACATACGTCCTCAATGATGGGGATTGAGTGAGACCATATGGAGCCACGGTCGTGTTCTGACCTACTCCGTTCTGCTTCATCCGATTTCTCGCCAAATAGCCTCGGATCCAAGGCGTCAAATCCTCGTTGATCTTGATCATTAAGAAGAAGATGATCCGGTAGATTATGATCATGCTGAAAATAACACTAAGATCGATCCATTTTGATCTCGTTATGGTGATCTGGAACACGTACTCAAGAATATATTCCCCGGGGATCTTCGGTAGATCGGGCGTCTGGTTGTCAAACATCAACCCGTTCAAGTCGTTTTGGTATTGCCCCTAAACAAGCATATAAATACAATACCCGTAAGATTTTCGATTCGAGGGCATTATTGGTATTTCACACCTTAAAAAACACAAGTCATACCTGGAGAGCCCAGAAGTGGAAACTAATATACGACATGGGATAACGCCAGACAGGTTTTGGGATATCGTTAGGGAGTCGGAAATAGCCCGATACCAACATGAATATACCCTGAAATCGACGTTTTTAGTTGTTAGTTTTCTAGACGGATATCGATTGTTAGAAACGAAACAACGGCATTTTCAAGAACCTGAATTCCGGCCCCGATGATGATGCCCATGAGGAAGTTGGGAACGACACTAGCGATGGCCATCATGAGACTTTCGACCACGGTTACACTTGCATATAGGCACAACACAAAGAACAAATAGTGCATAAATCCAGGGTGCAATCGAACCATAAAATAGCAGATTGTTCCGGAGATGAACGTGATCAAAATCAGAAATGGCATCGCGGATATCGTGTTGCTGATCACGAACGCGGTCACACCATAGTGACCATTCAATCGTTCTCTTTGAAACACCTGCAACCAAAATCATTTCATTCTACCTTCTCCGCTTCTTTTGATCATAAGATATAGAAACTACAACAAAATTAGGTTTGATCATAAGATATAGAAACTACAACAAAATTAGGTTTATAGGACGCCAAATATTTTTAAAGTGTCCTAATAACTGTTTTATAGAACCAAACATTTGTGCGTTCTATGTAAAAATGTTACAATAAATTTATACAACGTTTTTTGATGTTTTAACAAGTTTTTAGGATAATTTTGAAATAAAAAGTAGTAATAACATTTAAAGAACATTATTTGAATAAATTTCTTGTAAAAATGTGTCCATACATTCATAGAACACTTCTCAAAAGTGTCCTATAACTAATATAACTTTATTTCAAAAGTGTAAAAAGCTTGTTAAAACGTCATTAAACTTATTGTAACATAAGGGAATGATTGTTTAGTCTTATAAACCTAAGTCTTTATAAAGCAGTCTATTAAAACATTTAGATACTTTGGTGTCCCATAAATCCAATTTTGTTGTATTGGAAGAAAATGATCAAGAAACTCACCTTCATGTCTTCCACGAATGAAGGAAACCCTCCGATCGACATGAATGTCACAAAACCAAACACGAACGAGGCACACGCTCCTCTTGCCAGAATTGAATTGTAGCCCGTCCCGACATTCAAATAAATGGTTCCAATGCAGACGGTGACCAAAACATATATTACGAGCCTTAACCAATAGTAACCGAAGTCCCTCGACATGTTGATGAACGATCGTTTCGTTAACATAAATGATTGCATAAAGAAACTCGCCTGACTGCCGCCTGAATCCAACACCGTTCCTTTCTGCATTCCGCCATCAAAATTCGTTTATAGACATCATGAATATATCAGTATGATGACCGTTTCAGAAAGAAAAAAGAAACAACTGTACTTACAATTTTCGACATCTCCTGTACTTTCTCGTTAGCTGCATAACAATACTGAGAGGTTCGATAGTAATCCGTAAGAGCTCGGATAGCTTCAACGGTGGTTACCTTCTCCAAAGGATCATCACTCGCTTCAAACTGATCATAAACGTGATTTTTTTCGGTTTTCATACATAAACTATGTTCAATTCGAATAACAAATGAACAAGAGCAAAAGATGTGCTACTTTTTATAGAACACAAAATATGTCTAAATGTTTAGTTGACTATTATAATTGTGTAACCTATACAGATGTATTACAATAAGTTGATGTTTTACAAAGGTTAAATTTATAGGACCAAATATTGTGTTTCCTATGTAAACTATAAAGGTGTTACAGTTTACAATAAGTTTACATGAGGTTTTTGATTGACCCAATTTTGAAATAGAGCCTTCTATAGTTAATCTTTCTATGATTTAGTATTTGAAAAAATATCTTGTAAAACAAAATGTGTTTGTAGGAAGATGTCCTATAAATAAACACTTTAGTTCAAAAGTATGTTAAGAAAACTTATTAGTATTACCCAAAATGCATCCACATATCCGTGACACCTTAATATAGGACGTACAATTATTTGGTTTTTTAAATATAAATTTTATATAACCATCGATTACGAGATTTAGACATATTCGATATCTTATAAAACCGATTTTATTATAGTATAATCTAGTACCATACCCGAAGTTTCATGGATCCTTTCAAAGTGGCCTTCACTTTGTCAAAATCGGAATTGATGCAACGCAAGAAATGATCCGATGGGTTTCTAAGCGTCGGGCAAGGAAAACCAGCATGCGCGAAGAACTGCAGATTAACAATTAAAAGATTGAGCTCAATTATGTACCATTTGGCCACATTCTTTATGATTTCATTTATCGTATATAAATATTATATTTCAAAAATAAAAAATTTGACGATATTCATGCGAAAAAGAAAAAAAAAAAGTTCAGTTACTTGCCTCATAAGCTTCAGATGCAAGACCAAAATAAACGGTTTTTCCTCCGGAAAGCAAGTACAAACGGTCGAATAGCTCGAAAACTTCACTGCTCGGTTGATGAATTGAAGCGATTACAGTCCTGCCATCTCTAGACAAACCTCTTAATGTCTGAGTAACGAAGAACGCCGAAGCACTGCAAAAAAACATATCACGAAATTCCAGTTAGCCAATGTCTCAGATTATAGTATCAAACAATTGTATGTATTATGTAAGAGTTTTACAATAACTTCATAGAAAGGTTTTTGGGAATCTTAATTACAATACTTTTGAAATAATCGTGAACACAGTTTTTTAAAGGACGCTTATTATTGTAAGTCATTTTTTCGAATAATATCATAAAAAATATAAACTGTTATAAAAAGTTGTTAAGATGTCCAAAAGTATCATCGTAACACTTTTACATAGAATGCATATAAGATTGCTCCTAGACTTAAATCTTATAGCAATTTATTTCACATTTATACAAATTTACCGTCCCATGAACTCAATTTTGATTAGAATAGACGGTGGAGTAACCTATCAAGGCCGCTAGTTGGTTCGTCAAGGAAAAGCAATCTTGGTCTCATCAAGATTTCGAGGGCAATGCTGACTCTCCGTTTTTCACCGCCGCTAATACCTCGCAAGTGCCAATTGCCGATCACTGTATCCGCACAATCTTGAAGCCCCATTTCCACGATGGTGCTTTCAACCAATGCACGCTTGTCAGACCATGGCATCTTATCGGGGAGACGTAGTCTTGCCGAATACGAGATGGTTTCGCGAACCGTAAGTGTCCCAATCAAGTTATCATCTTGTGTTACATAAGCCTGCAAATTAATCCATCGAATTAACACTTCTCCCACATCATTTTTTACTTCTCACTCATCAATCTCTTTGTGGTTACAAAATAATTTTTGTTTATTTTATTGGTTTATAACACTCGATAAATTAATTAATAGTTTTAAAAATCAAAAACTTGAAGTTTACAAGTCTACGATAAGTTCTTTAAAATAAAAACTATAATAAACTTTTCTGAAACTTTCTTTTAAAATGGAAATAGTATGTAAAAGAGATTCAAAATATACAAATACCAAAGAAATCTTTAAAATTAACTGTTTAAAAGAAATATTATTTCTTTGATGTATCAATATTTTATAAAGATCAGAAATCTATCAAGGATAGTAATTTTGAAAAAATATTTAAATAATGTAATTAATATTAGAATTTCTAAAGGAAACTGTTAGAATTAATATTTTCTAAGAATTTTAATTTTTAAAAAATTATATAAAATCTGTTCAGAATACTCTTATTTTTCAGCTAAAAATTGCAATAATTTTTCTTTGAATAATTAAAAATCAAGATTCAAAATCGACGTATTATAAATCTTATCATAATTTGTTGGGAATTTATGTTTAGAATAATTTTTTTAATTACGTGATATATAGATATAGATATATGTTCTGAGTGGAGATTGACTTACAGCAGTGCCAAAGGATAGTTTTGTTTTACGGCCGTTAAGGAAGACACTTCCAGAAAGGAAAGCATTGGTTGCAAGCCGGCTGGAAAGAGCATCAAGCAAAGTCGACTTGCCGGAGCCGGAAGGACCCATGAGAGCCGTAAACGTCCCCGGCTCGGCGTATCCCGTTAGCCCTTCCAACACATTTTGAGTCTCGCCGTTACTCAACGTCACCATCACCGTCAGATCCTTCCACGCCAGTTTCGCCGACACATCTCCCACCATATCCGTCGTCGTTTTCTCCTTCCAAATCGTCTCGCTTAACGGACTCAACCCTCCGACCACTATTCCGTTCCCCGCCTGCGGCTTGTTTGCTTCAACTTCCATCATCACTACTTCAGTGTTCGAAGATCCTCTGGTTGCCATCATGATTTCTTCAAAGAAAAACCGATGATTTCCAGAAATTATTTTTGAAATGATTGATGGGCTTGGAAGATTGAGGAGCTATTATATGATTGGATCAGGAAACCCATTCGTTAATTAATTTGGATTGAGAGATTTGAAGAGTATATGGAAAGAAGGAAGGGGAGGATATTGTGAGGAACTGAAAATGGAAGAAATGTTTTGTGTGTGAGAGGTGAGAAGGTGAAGGAAGAATTGTTGTGAAGATGGTTTTGTTTGACTGGTTGAGTAAACATGCTTGGAAGATCTTAAATTCCAGTTTTTATTAATATTATAATTCAAAATTTGAAATATATTTGTCTTTTTTTTTTTTTTTTTAATTTTGGAGATCAGAATTTGCTATTAAAAATATGAAGGCTTTTGATATTGATTATTTTATTAAATTTTAACTAGAAAATATGTAGCAAAAATCGAATACATTCCTATAAAGTCCACCATTTTATTTAGGCTTTGATTTCAAGGGATTTATATGTTGATAAATAAAGTTAATACCCAATAAATTTATGAGCGGAAGTTTCCAAAAATGTTGAATTAGGGGTTGAAATAAACGTCGAGGTGTTAATTAATCTCTAATCTAACTAAGTAGTTGATTTTATATACAAGATCTCTCTTGATTGATCATTGTGATTAGTGAAATTTGATTGTTGTTTATATAATACTAGTTGTTTGCTTATATTAATCCAGCGAGACAAAAATCTACTATAAATCGATAACAAAAAATTAATGCAAATTAAAAGAACATCCAAAATTTATGGGTTATTCTATTATATTCGTATAGTTTAATGTTTATCTAGTATTAAAGTATGTGTGTCAGTCGGTTAAAAATTAGTTATGTAAAATTTAAAATATTAAAAATTAAAAGGTTATATGTATACAGTAATATAATATTTTAAGAAAATTAGATGAATACTTTATAATGTAATGAACACAAAAATCAAGGTTAGAAATTTAGAATGATAGTCTTAAAAAGGTTCAAGGCCTTGAGCATAATGGAACTTTTTGCAAGAAAATATTAGGGCAATTTAGTATTCGGATTATCGGTTGAAGTATTAATCGGTTACCATGCTAATGTAGTGAGTGATGTACTATTCAACTCAGTATTATTTGTTGAAGCATTAACCGGATACCACATCACTCGTTACATCAGCATAATAACCGGTTAATTATTCAACCCGTAACTCGGGTACTTAAATATTTAACACTTATATCTCATATATTAAAATGAAAGTTTTAAAAGTATATTATTTAAAATAAGAATCAAGTTAAAATAAATTACTTTTTCATACAATTTGTTCAAAATATTATTATTAGAGACAATAGTTTATTAATTTTTTTTTATTTCCGAGGCTTTTATTTACACTAGTTTAGCTGTGGAAGCAATTGATTGAACGGGACAACTCCAATCCCTTTGGAACATTTACCAATGTAATTCACTGTCGATAATTTAACAAAATCACCCCTACTTAAAATTACCTTTATTTATACAACCAAGCACTATTATTTTATGTCTTATCATACTAACTTGATGCTGAAAGTTTATAATCGTTTTTTCTGTGATCAGGGTATCAACATCTTGAATTGTCCTGACCTACGGTATTTATTCAAAGCGTCGTTCCACATTAATCTAGCAAATCTCATCTCTTCTGAAAAGCTTGTGTAAATCGTGTTTTTTCTATTTGGACCTATCATTAAGACACCAAAATGATAATGTAACATCCCAAAATTCAAATACTTCAATATATCATAATAGGTATCTCAAGATCAAACACTTACATTGCAGCGGAAATAAAATTTTTAAACTTACAAATTATATCACCATCTAAATTACAATTTTGAGAAGTATAACCTTGCTCTATATAACAATGTCTTGATCTGCACATATCCTTCTTTGGAGGAAATCCTTATCTCTCTTTATTGCATTTTTCTTTCCACTCAAATAGCCGCTTGGGTGAAAAAGTTTTAAAAGAATTTTGGGTGAGCCTTAGGCCCTGTGAATCCACGGTTTTCATGCATGAACAACAACTTTTATGATAAACAATTTTCACGAAGTTTCATAAATTTAGCATGCCTTGATGAGAATAATATTTTTCACAAAATAACTATATTATAGTGCGTGTCTACATCACAAAACAACAACGTCATGGGAGATGTCTACTTCACACATCATTACTTGGTAAACTCACACATCATGTCCGCACTTACGGTTTAGACAAGCTCACAAAGCATGCTCGTCTTTACAAAATCATATTGTAGTACATCCCCATTGACACACAAATACTCAAAACACATATTATAAAAATATCGAACTTTTCATGCATATATAGCATATCAAAAATTTCGAGAAACTTCAAACAACTTGTGGATAATAAGGCATGCAACCATTTTAAAAATAAATCACGTGTAACTCACCATACGGGTCATAACTCCAAACCGTTCCTCGAAGTTCCTCATATTCTACCAAAAAAAGCATCAGTTGTTGCGCTTCACCAAATCATCCTCATCTTTTACTTCTATTATACAAGTTGCGTTCCCCGAGAATTTTGTCATCTATATGCTTGAAGACCCCCCATATATATACTTAGTCATCGGCGGTTTCACGGAATATGAAACGATAAGCCAAGATTAATGACCGTAGGTTTCATGACCATTGGGTTTCCTGTCATTTAATTACATTCAATTTTAGGGTCTAAACCCTTCACTTTGATCGCTTTACACTATAAGTCATTGAAATTTAACGACTAACAATACCTTTCCTTTTTTTTTTGGTTGTTACAGATAAGTAATTTGTTGGTATGTTTGATCTTCACTTATTTAAATTACTGATTTATTTGTTCAATTATTAAGTAGTCTTTTTCCTTGATTTTTAAACAACTACTCGAAATTGATTAACCAAGTATGTATCTGATTTTAGCCATCTTATTCTATATGTATTTTAAGAGAAAGAAAATAACTCATTCGTCTTCCTAACAATTACTTACGCTCAAGATACACAATTTCTTAAAATTACCTTTTCTTATAGGACTTCCCTAGAGGTATCTTAAACCTCCTAATGAGATAGTTTAAGGCTTGGTTTAAATATAGTAGATATTTTCATAAAGAATAAATATATATATATATATATATATATATCACCAAAAGACACATAGATGATATTCCAATTTGAGTCGACTGCTCGGTAAACATCCTTAATTAACATGTTCTTAATTCATGTTTCGCAACCAACTAGATTTGAACAACTGCTTTTGTCCCACAATTTTTGGTCCCGCCAACTTTTTTTCCGACCAATGAAGGATGGTTAATTATAATAAACATCAAAAGTCTTTGCAAATAAATAATTAGACTATATTTGTCAAATTAGCTGATAAGTAAATTAGTGGCTGATAAGCTACCTGATGAAATCATATCTACAACTTGGTTGATAAAAAAGTAAAATGACAAGAAAAAGGTATTTTAAAAAATCAATCAATTATAATATTTCAAATATGACTTAAACAAAATTTTAATAATATAATATTTTAATTAATATAAA